TTTTGGAAATCTTTTTCAGGAGAAAAGTAATGGCTGCACGACGACCTTACATGTATCGTCGTAGGGGACCTCAGGATGAAAGGTTCCATTTATTTTATGTTTTAAGTCTAAGGTTTGAATTAGTATTTGAGTATGAACAGTATGTAAAGTTTATGTAATGTTGACTCAAAAGTTTTTATTGGTGTTGAGATGATCTGAACTGTTTGGGATTATCTGTATTTGATGTTGTTTTAGTGGCTCTTTCTTATTTATGGATGATATTTATGTACTGATGTTATTTATCTAATGAATTTGATTTATGTTTCTAATGCTCTTCCGTACGATCGTCTGTTCCCGCCCCGATATTATCGGGCTAGCCGGGCCGGGTCGTGACAAAATCAAATAAACAAATGTCATTTTTAATGCTTCATAACTAAGTCTTTTTAGGTCTACCTCTACCTTTCTTAACATAGGTCAGATCTAAAACATCTACTCTACTAATAGAGCCATCAAAAGGGTCATCAGAAGGGCGACATTGTATGTGACCGAACCATCTAAGAGGACTCTATCTAATCTTATCTGCCACTAGAGCTACTCCCACCATTGCATGGATATACTCGTTTTGCAATATATATATATATATATATATATATAATTCCTTAGGAAATGTGCAGGAATAAAGTTCCAGTAACTTTAGTGAGGAAAAGAAAAGAATCTAACAATATTATGCTATTAAGAGTCAAAAGTATGACCATGCCTTCATTCTGCGTTCACGCAAAGCAAACAAACCAGCTTCAGTGCATATGGCCTTTATATCAGCTCCAGAAAATTCATCCTTTGTGATCACGAATTCTTCAAGATTGACATCATCAGCTAGTGTCATCCTGGAAGTGTGTATCTGCACAAAGAGATCAATAGACAGATAAACAAACGGATGTGCAAGGAAATGTTTTTGAATAAATTTGCTTGTCCGTGAACTGGCGTGGATGCATGTCACAATCTACACACAAGAGCATACAAAAATGTGCAGGTATAGGAGGTGCGAGACTTGGTATCCATGTAAAAGCCAAAAAAAAAAGAGTATTTCGCATTCCAGGAAGTACCACTTTTACCTGGAAAATAGCATCACCTGTTTTCTATAAAAGAAATTCAATCTTCCAATTAATGCACGAACAGGCCTAAAGTAAAATAACAAAACTAGTCACTTGTACCTCAAAAATATTTCGCCGACTTTTGACATTAGGAAGAGTAAACTCAATTTTTCTATCAATGCGTCCTGGCCGAAGCAAGCCTGGATCCAGGCTTTCAATTCTGTTTGTGGCAAGAATTACTTTAACATCACCCCTTGGGTCAAAACCATCTAATTGATTCAACAATTCCAACATAGTGCGTTGTATCTCAAGTTCTCCTTCTGAATAAGCATCATATCTAAACAAAATCCAGGCAAGTTAAGCACATTAGGGACAAATACAATAAAAGACTAACAAGGTTTACGCATTCTAGATACTGTCATATGAGTACCTTTTAGTTCCAATTGCATCGATCTCATCAATAAACACTATTGATGGAGAAAGATCATCAGCAAATCTAAAGAGTTCCCTTACTAATTTTGGACCATCACCCAAGTACCTCTGGATCAATTCACTTCCGACGACACGCAAGAATGTGGCAGAAGTTGTTTTGGCCACGGCCTGGAAAAAATACCATGATAGATGTTTTGAAATGATTAGGGCTTGTTATATTAGATCATTAAAACAATAGACTAATGTTTAGGTGCTGTAAAAATAAATTCTTCAAGGATTCAGCAAACGTGAAGTTTAAGGTTTCATTAAAAACTACCAAATATAGATTATGTGGATCAAACTGTAACATACATATATAATGAATAGGCATGAAGGAATATCCAGGTAGAACTCAATGCGGAATAAAAATAGGAGTTGGAGGATAAAAAAGAACCCAGATATCAACATGTTTAAAACAAAGAAAGATACCAATTAATTTAAAAAAAAAAAAATCTACAATGTATACTTGTTGCGGGTTAGTATATTCGCGGCAGTAGAGTAAGTGAATTTTATGTCCTAGCGATACACAGATATAACACACAAACAGATAGTTAGAGAGATAGGAAAAAAAAAACGATAATTTTTTTTTGGAAAACCCAATAAGGGAAAAACCACTGGCTTTGCCTAGGTGAAAAGATTCCACAATATTTGAGTGAGTTACAGAGGTTGACCCGTCCATTGACTTGGAGGCGGTTAAATTACAATTATGGATCTTAGGAGTTTGTAACAACCTTGGTCGGATGATAGAGTTTGGAAGTTTGGTGAAGCGACTAGGAGAAGGTCTAGCAGAGGTTGGCAGCCGAGTGGAGGTCCAACAGTTGTTAGCGGTCGGGCGGAGGTCCGATTGCGATCGGTGGCTGGGCGGTGGTCTGACGATGGTCGGACGAAAATCAGACGGAGATCGGTGGATGAGCGATGGTCCGGCGGCGATCGATGATCCGGCGATGGTTAGACAGAAGTCTGAAGGAGATCGTAGACATGCGGTGGTCCGGTGGAGGTTGGCCTTCGGGCGGTGGTCAGACAACGGTTGGTGGCCGAATGGTGGTTGGACGTTGGTCGGGCGGAAGTTCGGCAAAAATCGGCAAAAGGGCGGAGTTCGCGATAGCTGGCGGCCAGGAGGTTGGAGGTAGTGTTGTGGTCCAGCGGCGGCCGAGAGATGGTCCGGCGGTGGTCGACTGAAGCTCCCTTGCAATAGTGTCAGGGTAGAGCTCTAAGATCCTCGAAGTCTAAAAGCTCTCTCCAATCTCTAACGCCAGTGAGTGGGACGCACGACTTGCATGTTTTCTTCCCACAAATTTGATATATAGATGGTTGGTAGTTGACGAGAGATTATGCATGTTTCCTTTCATTTGAGGTTGCCCTTAATACTAAAGGACTTTTTTGACCCTAATAATAAATTAGGGTAAAGAGACTATCTTGCTCCAACCGTGCTCAGGACATTAACGTGAACAACCTTTCGAGGTAGTAGCAAAAGTTGCCTCCCAACCAGAAATTGAGCATGAAATTGCGAATTATCACATGGAAAACGTCATCTTTCACAATACAGTTAATGCATAATCATTACAATCATTATCATAGCTATTAAGGGAGTTGGAATAAGTCTAAAGATGAAGATATGATTTTTTTAGTAACTGCACACCGATATAAATAATGAATCTGTGCCATGTGAAGTACACGACTCACCCTTAGAATACATAAAACTGGGATTTATAATTTCTTATGTAATGATTTTCACTTGCAAATATAAAACCATTTTAATGAACTCATCAAATATAAAACCATACATTCTACATTTTAGCATAATACCATAACACAACTAGCAATGATTTTCACTTGCTACTATATAAAATATCAATTTCACCTTTAACTATGAATTGTCAAACGCATGCTCTACTATTTCAAAAAGCAACACATTAGAATCCTATCAGCAGGATCCAACCTGACCATCCTTCAAAGATTCTGGATTTACCTGAACATGCAGAGTTGTTGATGAATGAATGCAAAAAAATAGAATAATGCACTTATTTCAGTTTTATGGAAAAATATGTACATAGAATTAGCTTCAAGAATTCAGAGAATAGCAAAGAACTTACTTTGGCAAGCAAAGTTTTCCCAGTTCCGGGTTCTCCATAGAGTACGACTCCCTTGGGTGGCCTGACGCCAATGTCTTCATAAAGCTCAGGGTGGGTTAAAGGAAGTTCAACTGATTCTTTAATTTCTTGAATTTGATCATCCAGACCACCAATATCAGCATAAGACACCAATGGAGCTTTTTCTACTTTCATCATAGTAAGTAAAGGATCAACATCATCCTGGATGATCCCAACAATAGAACAGTGCTGCAAAATTTCAAAGAAAATAATACCAACCAATAAGCTGTTTAGTAAGAAAAACATATCAATATTTCATATTAAGTGATAGAAGACTAATAGCACCCAGAACACATCACAAAAAAGGAGCTGCATGTGGGAAAAAAAAGGGGGAAGTGATGTTTGATGGGTTCCTAATGAACCCTAGAATGAGATATAAGATCAAAATACAAACAAATCATAATCTGCAGGAAAAAAATATGATTTGTTCATTCCATGAGATAATTTAAAAGTCAACCAAATCTAAAATTTCACAAGAAAATAACGGCAAAATGAAAATTCAGTAGCTAGTCATGTTCACCCCTCAAAAGAAAACAAAGCAAATATCTTAACAAAATCTTAATCACCATGCAAAATTCGCAACTAAATAATTTAAGAAACAAGAATAAGGATAAAAATGACCCAAATGGAAGAACTTAGTCTCTAGTTGGTGCAAGAAGCATCCCCCAAAAAGCACTACAAAATATTTATAGAACTCAAAAGACATCCAACAAAGACATCCAACAATGGAGGAAATTAAAATTCTATTCTAATATTTAATGTTTTTTCTACATGCCTCAGGGTACTATTTATATCCTTTAAATATCCCAAAACAGGAAACTACCCAAAATCTATAAAAATTCACTCAAAATAGGTTTCAATACATAAGGCGGCATAGTGGTTTAATAGGCAAGGCTGAATAACAACCAAATGGGAAAGGAACTTACGCCTTGGAAATAGAAAGTGACAAAGGCCTATATATTGATTGAGTTTTATATATTTGATTTTATATGTTATATGGCATACTTTTGATTAAAAAATATTTTTATTACAATTTTTCAAAATTTTAGCTGAATCATATTTCACGCGTTAAAATGGCTAATTTATTATAGTCATTGGGGAATTGATTGCAGTCAAATTTGGCCACTCAAGATTAATTTTTTGGGCTACTGATGCACCAACACTTCTACTCAAAGAGACGTGCAGTGTTTGACACGAATCCGACATTACACACGTCCGATACGCCTCTGACACGTGTTGGACATACTTAAAACATGTCCGATTACAAAAATATTAAACACAAATTGGACATGTGTGTCTTAAATATTTTATGAAATTTTTCTAAATATAATTTCTTGTATTTAAAATTTTTATTTATTTAAAATATATAAAAAAAAATTATTTTCTATCAACAAAGCCATATCAATTGCCCCACTCAATACCCCATTCATCAAATATTATCATATTAATTTCATTTGGCAGGTGGTGACTGGTGACTTTGGTTTTACAAGAATGTCTGATGTCATCTCAACATTGACGTCTGACATCGTTACAATATCGACATTTCAAAATCATCTCAACATCAAAGCCTGACACAGTCTTGACATTGATGTTCAACGCTAGCATGTTCTAACCCACAACTTGACAGCTCATCTTTGTTCGACATCTTAATATCAACCACCAACGCCTTCTCAACATTGACAATAGATGTCTGATACTTACTGCATAACATCGATGTCCAACTCTCGACAGCAATATTGTCTCTTCTCGATGCTTGATACAAGGCATCGACGCCCTTCTCTCGTCATCATGATAGTAATAATTTTAAGCACAAATTAATTAAATGACTTATTATTTCTAAATTATTTTTAATCGTATACTTATTCAATTTTTATATACTATTTTTACAATATAAAAATTATAATATCATGTACAACTCATGTTCGTGTCAATTCTCTTGTGCTCCTCATATATCCTGTCAATTCTAGAGTTTGTAAGAGATTGGTGCTTTAACGATACATATGAGAAGAAGAGGGTTTTTATATGAGGTAAGCTCTTTGTCTAAGATTTGGTGTTTTCTTCTTCTTGTGTTCACATACAGATGAAATTGGGATTTAGCAAGGATTATAAATGTTTCATCATCGTAGTGCAACACAATTATAGCTTATGTTTTCTGGTGGATCAGATTTTCTCCCCTCACCTATGAATATATGATTGGTTGAAGGCAAACCATGTAAGCATTATTGTCATGTGTGTTATCATTTTTCTTTTCTCTTTCCGAACCATTTGTAGCATAGATAGTACAATTGATTGTTGTTATTGTTATTATTATTCTAGTATTTTATTCCTTTTTGCATGCATTTCTCCTTTTTATTCACTAACCCTAAACCAATTACTTGCATGCATCAATGTTCCTGCATAAATGATCAGACAATTCAAATGATTTGCATAATGGTCCAGCATAAACCTTAATTCCCTTAATCATCAAACACCGCCATCAACTCATTATCCGGAATCCCAATATCTATAAAGATTTCAGGTATTTCTCAATCAAAGGCATAAACCAGCAGGATATATACGGTATTTACCTTGTTGTGCATGAGAACCGAGCACCCAGGCTCTAGCTGGTCCTTGTCCACGAAAGACAGAATGATCACGTAGTACTCAGGTCCAAGCGAGGAGGAGACTATGGCATGGTTCTCATCAATAAGCTCCTCAAGGGTGCCAACGCTCATGGGAGATCCGCGAAGTTCGCTGACCCTAGATCGGTTCTTCTTGTTCTTTTCCACGTGATCAGGCTTGAGGCGCTCTAGGTTGATAATGAACTCCTCCTCCATCAAGAGATGGTCCTTGATTCGCTCCAGTTTGAGGAGGCGGAGCCTGCACCTGGTCAGCGGCATCACCGTCGGAAGTCGCGCAGCGGCCTCAAGGCCCTTCTGCTTCCGCTTTTTACGTCCGACGTGCGACGGCGGAGCCGCCGGCTTGAACTTCCTATCCTTCATTCTACTGGGTGGTCCCTGTCCCATTGCACTGCTCAGTGTAACTCGGCACTCACGCCAGAAAGAATCAAGAGACGACTTCTTTATAGAATGGCTGGCTTCCGAGTTTGCCGCCAGTGAGCTTAATTGAATTTTACTGAATTTTTTATTGAATTTTATTAAAATTTTAATTGAACAAAGTTCATATCATATTCTTATTTTTTATGAAAGTTTAATTATGATTTAAATAAAGTTAGATGATAATTCCAATAAGATTCGTTGATAAAAATTAATATTTTTAAACTAAAAAATTACTTTAAAAACCAATAAAAAAGTTATCTCAAACGAAGTCTTAATTTAATCAAGACAAGTAGATAAACTTTATACTCCTCAAGGCATATATAGAATTGGGTTTGTAATGGAGAAAATTATTAGGCAATTTGAGGCTATTGGTTTCATTGTGTTCAATATTGGAGGGAATCATTATAGGTATAAATAAGTCGAATTGGGGCGAGCCATGCGCTCGTTTGTGTTCAATATTGGAGGGAACTATTATAGATGTAAATATGTCAAATTGGGACAAGTCAGACGCTTGTTTGTGTTTAGCTCGTTAGAAATAGGCTCTTGCTTGAAATTATTCGGCTCAATTTGATAAAAATTATAAAAATATCACAATTTTTTATTACTCAAAAGTTATAATTATAATGGCTAGTTTAAAGAATAAAATTTAAAACTAAAAAAAACATTATTATAATTACTTTAAAATAATAGATATCACAAACTAATTTAAATATAAAATATGAACACTTATATCTATAAGTTGGATCCAGCAATATTGTTATCAAGAAAAACTATAAGTGAAACCATGAAGTAGTATTAAGTATTCAGCGAAGCATCATCATTAACAGATGGATCAAAACTTTATAGGATTGCCGATTGCGCAACATTATACCATCTCAACTAAAGAGAAGTCATGATTCATACCAACTACCTTCTAACAATAATTATTCATAAATAATCATCATTGCCTCCATCCATTAAAAAATCATTATAATTGATTGCTCGTGCTTGTCCATGTAGATATTTCACAAGTACCTATCATTTTCTAGCTAAATAACTCGGCCAAAGCGGTTATAATGTCCATCAAAAGCGCTCATCAATAGAGAACATGGCTCATCCCAGTAGACCAAATTGAAGAGTCATCCCATGCACACACGTCGTGGAACTCATATAGGTTCATCCAAACACAAGGTAGACACTCGTCTCGACAAAATTAGTCTCTCGATATCAATCACTGTCATCCAGACCATCAGACCGCCCTTGACATCCTTTGATCTAGTTGCAGGATGTTGACACGTTAGGGGTTCAAAACTACGACCATTCCAAACTCTGTCTATAATTGTCACCCCTCGGGATCTAATATGAAATAATTTATTTTCTCTTTTCATTTATTTATTTATTTCATATATTTTTCATACAATTTTCAATAACAGTCAATAGTAATTTACAACCAAATCAAGGTAACATTCAGAGCTAATTAATTACATTAAAAAGTTTTAGGATATATATATATATATATATATATATATATATATATATACACATATATATATGTGTGTGTGTGTGTGTGTGTGTGTGTTATTTGTGCCGATCACATATATCAATCAATCAACCTATTTTTATCATTCAATCAATTTCACTCAGTCATATAATTCAGTTATTTTTGTCAGTCTATCAATTGTATAGTCATACTGTAGTATTAGTATTCATATTCAATAACAGTAAGCAGTAATAAAAATCTGTGTATTAGTATCAGCATATGTACATTATCAATGTATAATAATAAGTAATAGTTATTGAAAATCAATAATTAGAATAAGTAATAATTCATGTATCAGTAATCATAGATGATTACATTTATCACTGGCTCATTACTTTTGCTTGTAAGCAGTGTGTTGCACTCGCTACATTCTCCTTACTTGTGCCTGTAGGGGATCCATCATACTTGTAATACATCCACTATAATTATTTGTAAGCGGGACATTTGTGTACATTATAGGCCTTTTGCCATCTCCTGCGAGCAAGTTGCATTGAATGTAGATCTTCTAGTGCTGCTCGTAGGGGTTTGCATTTACTACAAATTATTTTATAGTTTCTCAAAAATAGCATGTTGTGTACGTGATGGGACATTTACAATGGCTCATGGGTGCTTGTATTTATTATGGGTTCGTTGTACCTTATTGTAGATAGTATGTTTGTGTATGTATCTATGTTCACGAAGGACCTGTCACACTTGCAGCATATCTACCATCGTTGCTTGCATGCATATTGATGTGTTCATTCATATGTTAGTATGGGTAACCGGATGTGCCATAATTCTTGTTGATTTTCCTATATATGTGCATTGATTGTCAGGTTGTTGCATTCGATTGCATGTGTTATGCTGTCACCTATAAATAATCACATGATTCTTATAGCTTATTGTAAACAAACTATTGTGTGTGTCATAAGTTCATTCTCATGTCAGTAAGCATATTATTATATTCATTATAAGTCTTCTACATATGCTCATTATAGCTCGTACTCAAGGTAAGTTCTTGGTCCTCGCTTGTAGACTGGCTAATTGAATATGACATTTTACTTTAATTTCATCATTTATGGGCAAGTTATCATATGCATTGAGAGTTTGCTCTTCATTTACCTTTTGTTTATTCATTGATATTCAATTAAATGACCATGATTATTGCTCATCATTTGAATTTTCACCTTGATAATGTAATTATCGATTTAATGTATGGTTCCCTATTTATTAGTTTACAAGTTACGTTCCCCTATCATTTGTTCAATTCATGTTCATTGTTAGTTCAAAATTTGGCAGCCTCCCAATATCTCCCCTATTTAGGGGAATTCGGGGAGCTAGGCCTTCCTACCACTCTGCAAAAAAGCGTGTATGATATGTGTCAGGTGACATCGTGATTGTGGTTTTCAACCCCACCATGCTACAAAAAACATGTATGGGTCTTTCGTGGTGCCTGCTTTGAAGCTTGCAAATTTTCTTGTAGGTATAGAAGCTTTCCCACAGGTACTTAGGAGTGTCCCCACCATTTTATAAAAAGTATGTACTGGGCTTATATGTCTCACGACAAGCATCACACCGAGTTCCATCCCACCACGCTAAGAAAAGCGTGTGTATGTGGTTCGCTCGTAGTGCCGTAAGCACCGAAATTTTTTTTTTTAGGATTTTTAAGTTTATGAGCATTTATATCTTAGTGAGAAAGAGAGACAACGACGATGTCGGGGCAATGATGACGGCAAAAATGCACGAGGATTGAGTCACAAAAATTTTGCTCTTTCCTTCTCTTTCTTTTATATATATATAAAGTGGGATGGTTATTGAAGTGGGGCTTTGTGTTGGCTGTTTAGGCTGAGTTAGTGGTGTTTGTGGTTAAGAGATGGCGGGGAAGAGGGTGTTCAACTTGGAGGCTGTGAGAAGGATAGCTGCTACTGGAATAATTGAATAGCTACTATAAATTAGAAGGAGTTGGAGAGGGGTGATGCTATTTGGGTTTGTAGTAGACTGATGGTTGGGTTGTTAGAGAGATGTAGTTGTGTTGATCGAGTAAAAGAAGAAGGATCAGAGCTATTGTAGTGGGCTTGGTTGGAGGCCTCTACATAAGCTGGAGTTGGATGAGAGGATAAAATGTTGTTGGGTGCAGATTTTGGTTCGAATAGAGCAAAAAGGAGATGGAGTAAGCTTGGTTTTGCTATAGATGTGAGAGGCTTGTTAAGTAGCCACTATAGTGAGGAAGAATACTAGTTGATGTTTGGATGAAGGATGAAGTGGATGTACTAGATTTTAGTTGTGTAGGTATAATGTCTTCTATGTAGAGTGGGCTTTAACAGCTGTTGGATGAATTGAGTAAAGGTGGAGATGCTGCTGAGGTTGAATGAAGGAGGTAGACTGCTTTTATTTGGTTTGTATTTGTGGACATCAACTAAGAGGAGGATAATCAAACAACAACAGTCGGCCTGAAGTGCTTGTAAAAATTGTTGAAATGGCAGGAGAAGGCTATGATAAAAGTGGCAGCTGGCTTGGGAAGTTTGGATGTGAGATTTTAGTGGATTGGAAGTGGTAGGCTGTTCTAGGTTGGGTGAGGAAAAAAGAAGAAAATTGTTGGGTTTTTGTGGTTGAAGGAGGTGTAGTGGGCTGCTGTGAAGTGAAAGCTGCTGCTGGGTTGGGTGAGGAGAAGGTATAATGTTAGTGAGGTGCTAAGAAATGTGACGGAGTTGTTGTTTTGTGTTTGGAGAAGTGGTGGTTTGAGTGGTCAACATGGAGTGCTTGTAAAAGTGGTTGAAATGGAAAAAGAAGGTTGCTTGTTAGGTGAGGGAGTATAGCTCTTGGAGGGAAGAGGAGCAGTAGAGTTTGATTTAGTGTGTTTTAGGAGCAGGAGGCATGAGCATGTGGCAAGATTTGGGGGTTGATACAGTGCGGTGGAAGTTGTGTCAAATCAAAATCATGTCAAAAGTTCGACTACGAAAACACAAAACAGATCACAACTCGGTCAAAACTCAATATCTTTGAAAACAGAGATAGGATTCGGAGTCCTTACCACGAGATCTTCACTTTTTCCAACAGCGGCGTCGGACGAAAAGCGCTCCGCGGCCTCCAAAATCTAGCTTTCCTCTTTTTCCCTTTATCTTTCTCTCTCTAAAATAAGATATTTTGATATTAAATGATTTTCTCTCTCATCAAAACGAGCTGATTTTCTTATATCCTTAAGCTGATCGGCCCGGCCGATCGCCAAATTGTCCCGGGACGATCAGACCAAAATCGATCGTCCTGGACGGTTCCCAGGACTTTTCTCAGGACGATATTTTCTACAGTGCAGATCGGCCTGGCCGATCTCACTATCGTCCTGGACGATTCTGGGAGGAAAATCCAAACTAGAGAGGAACAGTAAGGGAACGAGGTTTCACAGTTGGAGAGGGGTGATGCTATTTGGGTTTGTAGTAGACTGATGGTTGGGTTGTTAGAGAGATGTAGTTATGTTGATCGAGTAAAAGAGGAAGGATCAGAGCTGTTGTAGTGGGCTTGGTTGGAGGCCTCTACAGAAGCTGGAGTCGGATGAGAGGACAAAATGTTGTTGGGTGCAGATTTTGGATCGAATAGAGCAAAAAAGGAGATGGAGTAAGCTTAGTTTTGCTATAGATGTGAGAGGATTGTTAAGTAGCCACGATAGCAAAGAAGAATACTAGTTGATGTTTGGATGAAGGATGAAGTGGATGGACTAGTTTTTAGTTGTGTAGGTATAATGTGTACTATATAGAGTGGGCTTTAACATCTGTTGGATGAACTGAGTAAAGGTGGAGATGCTGCTGAGGTTGAATGAAGGAAGTCGACCACTTTTGTTTGGTTTGTATTTGTGGACATCAACTAAGAGGAGGATAATCAAACAACAACAGTCGACCTGAAGTGCTTGTAAAAGTTGTTGAAATGGCAGGAGAAGCCTGTGATAAAAGTGGCAGCTGGCTTGGGAAGTTTGGATGTGAGATTTTAGTGGATTGGATGTGATAGGCTGTTCTAGGTTGGGTGAGGAAAAAGAAGAAAATTGCTGGGTTTTTGTGGTTGAAGGAGCTGTAGTGGGTTGTTGTGAAGTGAAAGCTGTTGTTGGGTTGGGTGAGGAGAAGGTATATTGTTATCGAGGCGCTGAAAAATGTGAGGGGGCTATTGTTTGTGTTTGGAGAAGTGGTGGTTTGAGCAGTCAACATGTAGTGCTTGTAAAAGTGCCTGAAGTGGCAAGAGAAGGTTGCTGCTTGGGTGAGGGAGTATAGCTCTTGGAAGGAAGAGGAGCAGTAGAGTTTGATTTAGTGTGTTTTAGGAGCAAGAGGCATGAGCATGCGGCAAGATTTGAGGGTTGGTACAAAAAAATTTGAGTAAGATAATAGCATGTTTTGGCGGCTAGTAAAGTAGGATTTGAGCAAGATTATAGCAAGGGATTTGGGTGGCTGGTACAACATGAGTGGGATAAGAATAGGTTTTGGGAGGTTGATACAACAATATTTGAAACAAGATAACAATAGGTTTTGGGGCTGATACAACAGGATTTGAGCATGATAACAATAAGAGATTTGAGCGGCTAGTACATCTAGATTTGAGCATAATAATAACAAGTTTAGGGAGGGATTTGTGTGATGTGTTAGTCACTTGTAATGGATTTGACACATATATAGAGATCAATAACAACACAAATATTTGTGTGCTTGAAAAGAAAAATTGAAGTTAAAGAGAGAGAGAGAGAGAGAGTAGAGGAAAAGGATTTGTTCAATAAATAAGATTTTTTTGGTAAGAGGCCGAGGTCAGTTTTAAAATCATTTCGCGATTTAAAAAATAAAATAATGCTAAGTACGGCGTAAACGTGAACTAATCACGTTGAGCATTCCTCCTTTTATAATATAAAAATAAATTCATCAAAAATACTGTAAAACATATTTCGTCGGATTATCTAAGTACGCGCAAAATTTGGCAAATTTGGCATATAAAGTCAAATTTACATTGACATTACGGGGGCCTAAGGCCCCGCGAACGTTGAAAGTTAATTGAACGAGAAATTAATACGGATTACAGAGCTGTGGCCATCACCACTGAGCTCCCTCCTCCCAGCTTTCCTCGACCAACCACCCCAATGTTTCCTCTTCTCCTCCAGCTCTTCCTCTTTCCCTTCATCGCATCTGCGGCCTCCCCCTCTCGGTCTAGTTACGGTAAGCTCGTTTCCTCCTCTCATCGAAATTCCCTTCTCACTTCCCAACTCCACCTCTTCTAACATTCTCTCTATTTGTCAGGCCTCTCCTACTCAATTGACTGTGGCGGCATCTCCAACTTCACCTCTGACCTCAACCGTCAATGGCTCTCCGATCGCTACTTCACTGGCGGCGCCATTGGTACTGTAGCCGAACCCCAACACTTCACTCAACCACAGGAACGCACTCTCCGCTTCTTCCCCCCAAACTCGTTCGGAAAAAAGAGCTGCTACTCCATCCCCGTCCCCCCTGGCCGCTTCTACCTTCGTACTTTCACCGTCTATGATAACTACGACTCCAAGATGCGAAATCCCTCCTTCGACGTCTCAATCGAAGGCACTCTCGTCTTCTCATGGCGCTCTCCTTGGCCCGAACCAGTCGCGCGCAGTGGCGCCTACGCTGATCTATTTTTCCCGGCCGCAGACGGATCCGCCGACCTCTGCTTCTACTCCATTGCCACGGATCCTCCCGTCGTCGCCTCAATTGAGATATTCCAGATCGACTCCCTTGCTTATGACGCTGCCACTGCTGGATCCGACTTCGTTCTCGTTAACTACGGCCGGCTTTCCTGCGGTTCTGCACTATTCGGTCCTGGTTTTACGAATCACTCCGATCTCTTTGGTCGCGTGTGGCAATCTGATGCCGATTTCCGCGACCCGAAAGTTAAAGTGAAAGCCCTCTCATCCGGCGGGCGCAAGGTGCTCGGCGGTGCTCACGCTCCAAATTATTTCCCACCGCAGCTATATCTCACGGCCGTCACCGTCGAGCAGCCTGGTGTAGGGCTCGAGTACCTTCTCCAGGTGGATACTAGGCTCGACTACATGGTTTGGTTCCATTTTGCGGAAATCGATTCCAGCATCAATGCCGCCGGGCAAAGGGTTTTCAATATCCTTATCAACGGGAAAAATGTTGCCAGCATAGACATATTCAAGGCGGTCGGCGGTTTTGCAGCGTTTGATTGGCATTATATTGCGAAGAACCTAACCACCTCGCCGCTTAGCTTGAAGCTTGTTCCGGTTGTGGGGCAGCCCGTTATCTGCGGGCTTGAGAATTATGCCATGGTGCCTCTGGATCTTGCGAGTCTGCCTGGCCAAGGTAAGTTTTGTAATGGAGAAATCTTGAGTGGTAATTTTGTTGAGTGTTGATGTATTTATGTGTATATGGGGCCTTAGCAAGTGCGATGAGGGCGTTGAAAGAGTCGCTTAGGATACCTGATAGAATGGGATGGAACGGGGACCCCTGTGCTCCTACTACATGGGATGCTTGGGAGGGAGTTACTTGCCATCGTACTGAGGAAGGGCTTGTCATCACGCAGCTGTAAGTATTATTTTTCCGTATGATGTTTTTTTACAAATTTTCATAATGAGAAAGGATTCTATAAAGTTAAAAAAAAAGAAAAAAAAGATCAGTGATTCCTTTATTCTTTGTAACTTTAGCAACCTTTAAATCATTTTCATATAAAGACTTACTTTTCTGTCTTATTATTATTTTTAGACTTGGAGCATCAAAAATAAAAGCGGTCATACCTAAAAGCATAGGCAAAAAGTCAAATTAAAGATGACTATGAGCTGATGATATCTCGTTGCCCCACTCTTTTCAATGACCAAATTCTTTTTTGGCTAATTTATTACACAAAAATGGAATCGGCATATCTTAGGAACAATAAATTTGTGACAAATGGACTTATACTTTATAGTCTATTCTTCGTTCAATATGTATTTAACTGCAGTAATCTCTGTAACTAAAGATAAAAATAGTTGAAGTTTTCGCCACGTTACCAACCATGAATAGAAAGAATTTGTCCCTTCTTTTAGTGGACCTCTTAGACTATATGTAATTCAGTTGCATTATAAAAATAGGGCCATCTAAGTCTTGCATCTATAACATTTCTGGGTACATTGTTAGTAGCTTTGTTATTTCTAGGAAGGCACGAAGACACCCTTTTTTATTGAAATATGAACTTCTGTTTTGACTGATTTCCTCATAAAGTTGGGCATATGTTTCAAGAAAATGTCTGCAATTGATATTCATTAATTCGTAATAATACTCCTATGGCACCCTAAGTCACTAATGGTTAGCAATTTATTATACTTTTCTTTGTTGGCCCTTGTGTAGACCAAGAGGGTGGGTTTGGGGTGGGGTTACACGTTACAGGGAGGTAGTTACTTGGTTGTTTAAAATAAATTTGAATGTTTGAACCATCTAATTAAAGTTCAATTCAACTATAAGCTAGTTTTTAAAAGTAATTCAGAAATATGTTTAGGTGCTTGGCTGAGGCTTGGTGATTCTATAATTCTTAGCACATCTCTTATGGAGGTGTCGCACCAAGGTGCTTCTAGGAGAGCACTTTGCCTTAAGGGACAAGTTGTGTGGTAGGCAAGAGGTGAGCTCTAATTCTTCATATGCAAAAGATGAGTGAGATTTTTGATGTAGGTCTAAAGTATCTTTATGGTTGATACGTCATCACAAAATTATCTTGATCGGGCACAAATCTCGAGGCAAAAATTAACCCAGAAACTTAAAAATTAAATCCGGGAGCACCTGAGCTCCGATTTCAGCAAGCTTACAGTCAAACTGAGTGTCTCGGAAATACGAACCCAACGACACCAAATTCAACTCAATCCGAGTCCAAATGAGCCCAAATCAAGCGCCCGAAGTGCTGTTGGAAGGTTCAAACTACAATTTGAGTTACCAAACGGTCTCCGATTTTAACGAGCTGATACTCGAATCGAACGGCTCGACGAGATGAATCCAACAAGCCCAAGATCGCCGAATTCCGACATCATTAAGGCCTCCAAATGTCCAACGAACGGTGCACGATCGAAGGGTTCAATATCGGCCGTCCATTCAAACCACTCCCAATTCGCCCCTGATCTCACACCTATTTACAAGCCATGTCACTCTAGAAAAATTATAAATAGAGCCTTCATTCTTCACAAGAGGGGGGGGGAAGTGAAGAGAGAGAAGAAGAAGGGAAAAGAAGAGAAAGGGGAAAAGGAGAATCCTCTCCTCCTCGACCACCACCGGAGCTCTTCCCGCCGCCTGAATACGCCGGAACTCTGCCGGATATTCGGGAGAACGCCAGAATTCTGCCCAACTTCCATGGGATGCAAAAATTCTTCTCAATTAACGACAGAGTTCCCTCTTGACGCCGAAACTCCTCCCAAGTGATGCATGAGTTCTCCTCGTCCACTAACAGACGTTGGACTTCTACCCGACATTTGACCTTCACTCTTCGCCAAGTTTCTACCCGATGCCGGACTTCTACCGGTTATCGGACTTTCGCTGGACGTATATCAGAATATGGATTTCTTTCCATTGTTGGACTTCTACCTGACGCCGTCCTTCTGACCTTCATCGTCAGACACAGTCCTAAAAGCCTCCCTCGCAAGGCAACTGTCCTTCTGAACTCCGTCGCCAGCCGACTACGGTCCTCCTGACTTATGTCGCCTGCCGACTACGGTCCTTCTGACTTACGTCGCCCACCGACTACAGTCTTTCGACCTCCGTCGCCCGCCGACTACAGTCTTGACTTATGTCGCCCGCCTTCTATGATCCTTCTGACTTACGTTGTCCACCGACTACAGTCTTTCCGACCTCCGCTGCCCGCCGACTACAATCTTTCCAACCTCTGTCGCCCGTCGACTACGGTTCTCCTGACTTACGTCGCCAGCCAACTACAGTCTTTTCAACCTCTGTTGCCCGTCGACTACGGTCCTCCCGACTTATGTCGCCCGCCGACTACGGTCCTTCCGACCTCCGTCGCCAGCCGACTATGGTCCTCCTGACTTACGTCGCCCACCGGCTACAAGCCTTACGACCTCCGTCGCCCGCCGACTACGGTCCTCCCGACCAAACGAACATGTCAATAGTGATTCTTTGTATTCATATAATGTAATGTACTCTATAAAATGTACATCAAGCTAAGGCCTTCTCCCAATGAAGGGCCTCATTTGTAATCGACTGCAATACTAGTGGATTCATTCAAACTGGGTTTGACCCCGTGATTTTCCCCCCTTTTCAGGAGTTTTCCATGTAAAAATCTTGGTGTCTCATAAATGCTAGACCCTCTCTCTTATCTGATTGCGTGTCGGATTTTCGTACAACGCTAAGACGATAAACTTTATATTTCTCTACCGCCGCGAATACTCCTGGACGCAACAATGGTGAAGGTTGTAACTTGCTTGATGTCCCCTTAGGATGATGGTAGAAGGGCTATGTGTGTGGTGGTAAAATAGATATTCAGGATTGAGATATATTTCGTGCTGAAACTTCTAGGTTTTTCAATGACAAATTTTTTTGGAGGATAAGGATGAGGAATTTCAAATCTAAAGTTTCGGATATTAGAAAACTAATGTTGATATTTTTATAGATTTTTTGATCAATTGTTAACGAGTTATGATATTTTTAATTTGGTTGCCCACAAAAAGAATTTACCTCATTGTATTGGGCTTTTGCTTAGGATATCTTAGGATTATTAGGGAGTTGAGATTTTAAAGGTTATGAGGGATTTGGGGGAATGTTTGGGAGAGTCTAAATTTATTTTAGTATTGAGGGAAGCGGTGATTTAAATTATGTAAAAGAGATGAGAATTTGATAAGAAGTGGATGCAATTTTAGCAAAACTAGAGAACGACCGAAGAAATTCATGAAGAAGATCACATATGAACACATTTTTATTGAAAGAACTATGAAGAAAAACACAATATATAATTGGACCTTCAATTGGAGAGGAAAATTCAGCCCCGCTCCCACAAATCCTTAACCGTTGGCTAGGGCCCTCTCAACCTAAGCAAAACTAATTTCAATAAACATAAGCATAATCCACAAATCATTCCCCTGTCTCCTATATGGTCCTCATCATAGTTTTGAGAGAAACCATGGCTTTGGATAATCCTTCATCTCCCCTAATCATCTCCTTCTTTCCCTCAATCATCATTTTCATCGCTGGGGCTCCTCAATTGACCTTGGTATCTCTCAAAGTCAGCAACCATCTCATCCTCAGGATGACATCAATGCTCCACAACTCCAATGAAAATTAATCTTCCCTCACTTGGACCCCCTGTATGGTCAGAACCACCACACTCCTCAGCTTGTCTCCACTTTCTATGTGCCCAACATCACCCTGTTGCACTGTGTTCACCAGTTTCACCCCTAATTGGTTCATGATCTGTTTGGAGATGAAACTGTGGGTAGCCCTACTATCTATCAGCACACTACCTCCCTGCCTACTATCTCTCCTCTCATTTTCATAATGTGATTTGGAGTGAATCTTACCACTAAGTTCAAGGAGACCTCTGCCAAGTCTAGATGTAGCTCTTCCTCCTCCACTACACTGCCCCACCCCCATCTCCCTCCTCAGCTTCCTTGTCATTACAAATGATGAGAACCTGAAGAGTTCGATCCTTACACTCGTGTCTCGGTGTATACCTCTCATCACATCTAAAATATAGCCCCTTCTCCATCTTCTCCTATAACTCCGTCTCAGTGAGTTTCTTGAAGTTTCCCCCAGTTCTCCCTCCTACATTCTTCTCTTTCGGGGTCTACCGAAGAATACCTTGTTTCGGACCCTTGGGTGCAAAAAAGGTGGTGGTTGTCCTGTACAAACTCCCTAAAATGTTGCTTTTAACCCCTCCAAGTGCTTCTGATCCTCTATTAATTGGGCTAGCTCCATAGTCTCTCCTAAATCACGAGGCCTCATCACTCTAACCGCCATCTGAATATCTAGTTTGATCCATTTCATAAAGTTCTCCTCTAGTGCAGTCTCTGAAAGTGGTCCAGTCGGCTTGTAAGGTACTCAAAACTCTCATTGTACACACCAGTGTTCCCTCCTGCATTAGATCAAAGAAATGCTCATAGAAGTCCACTCCCTCTATTGGTTTGGAAACGTTCCAATAGGCAGTCCTTAAACTCCCTACAATTTTATATGAGCCGCCTTATATCCCTCCATTTGTACCATGCCAATGCTTTCTCCTCTAGCACAGGCCAACTGCCTCAATATCTCCTCCTCTGTCAACCCGTTGACGGCAAAGTACCTTTCCACATTGTAGATCCACCCATACGCATCCTCTACCTTTAAAACAATCATCTTCAGCTTTCTCACCCTCAGATTTCTTCCGTTCCCCATGTTTCCTTCATAACTTTCAATTTCGGAAGGGGTTTGATGTGATACAAACAAAAATTGCACGGAAATATTTTAAAGAATTACAAAGCTTGCTACTTAAGATTAAGATTTTGTAAGATTAGATTAGAGAACTCTCAATCGTCAATCGTATTGTAGTAAGCAGTTACAAATCAAAAGTTTAAGGCAAGTTAAGA